TTTTGGTTTTCTCAAATTTCCTCAAAGTGTTTTCTCCCCGACTGAGCGTGTAAGCTAACCCATCTGCCTCACAGTATTCCCCTACGAGGTTGTACCTTTTTAATATTTTAATTCAACCAGAGGAACACATGAGTTTCTGTTAAGGCTCAGTAATAAGGAAGTTGTTGTCGAAAGCAGAGAAAGATTTATTTTTGCAATGAAAACCAACCCCTGGCTTCTTTTAGCACAAAGGGTGACTGTGACACATGGCTGTCCAAACCCCAAACACCAAAGATGAGTGCTGTGTCTATATAGGGCTTATTGCAAGTCTTGATGAAAAAAAGAAAAAAAAAAAGCATGATCTGTAAGCTGAATGGACTTTGTCTAGGTACCAGAGGTGAGCTTCACCAGGCTTAGCTTTCACAGTGGTGAGGGCGGCTTTCAATTCCAGCGCTGGCTAATCTGGCTGTGTGAAGTCTCTGCAGCTCTCGTGTTTTTCCAACAACATGGCTGCACTCCAGCCATCCAGCCAGCCAGAAATCCACACTCTCCATCTACCTCCACTCTATCCTGATTGGACGGCAGCGAAAAGCTGATTTGTTGGTCAGAGGGTCAACCTCCATTCATTATTTAATGGGTGAGAGGCTGCAAACAGTCGGGCCGGCCGCTGAGGTTAGTAATACATTACAGTGACCTGGCCAGAGGAGAGCTGCCTGGACGAATACAAACATGCTCTCTCATCTACTTCACTATGCCGGAGCTGCCCTCAATACCCCCTTGCCCCTGACCTTGCTGCTCCCTCTCCAATCTCCATCCTTCCTCCCTTCACTAGCATTCAGAATCCAGCAGGTGCCACTGAGTTTCATTTCGCTGGGGTTGCAGTGCAGGAGCAGGGCTGTAGCTTTGACTGGTCCAGGTAACAGGAGAGGAGAAGAGGAGGAGGCGGAGGAGGAGGTGGCCCAAGTTCTTTTATTGACATGCAGCAAACAGCAGTAGCGGAACAAAGGCCACTCAGCACCTATTGAGAGAGCAGGCCTACAGACAGGGCGGTTGATTAGCGATTCGACACGGGGACCCTGGACTGTGTAGCACATAATGAGAGCTTAGGGAGTGAGCCATGAGCCGATGGGGGAAGGAGGTATGGAGGAGGCAGGCAGAGGTTGACAGAGGGGAGAGGCGGGGTTCTACCATAAGGAATTGATTACCCACAATAGCAGAATGATATAAAAGTTAAAAGGCTCTATAGGAAAAAAAAACAAGGGTATGGGCACATACTAAATCCTTAAGCTACGGCATTGGTAATGAGTTTATATATAAACAGTTAGAGGATAAGCCTTAAATCCACTGCCAAGCTAAATGGTTTATGCATCTTTTTTTTTGTTTGTTTACTTCTGCGTCAATTAAGCAAATTGGTCTGACATCCCTGACGAGCAGGAGAACTGAAGTGAGTGGGTTTTAAATTCATGTTCAAAAGCTCCTATCTCCCTGAGCAGCACAGTAACCCTTTCTTCACCTTTCATGTGGCCTCAGAGAGATGTTAACAGAGTCAGATGTGCATGATGGGAGGTGTGTGTGTGTGCTTTTTCCCTCCTCTTCGTCTGCACGCTCTCTCCTTCCTTTGTTCCACTGGTCTAATCCAGTATGTGTGGGCCGGTAAGTTTAATGGAAACAATTTATTAAGTCCGGCTTAAAATGCCATCTGCAGCTAAGCCTCCCAAAGCCGCTAAGCTCCTGGTTTCGCCCCGGAGCTTGCTGTGTTCACGCTTACTGTAATGCTCTGTTTAAAATGAGCACAACGGGTCAAAATTAATCAGGATTACAAGGGCACAAATCCACTTCAGAAATGGGTTTTCTACCAATCTTTCTCCTGCTATCCTAAGATGCCCCAGGTTTTTTGCGGATGGACTGCACACAGCACATAGGTTTACCCTCACACCATGACAGGCAGCATCAAGCTAACACAACAGGACATCAGAGGGGACAAAAAAGTCGTAAAAGACGCTTCCTGGACCCCACCAACAGCTCTAAATCATACAGACACAACATTCAACATCGTCACTGTAGATTCCAAAAGTGTTTGTCCCAGGTATTTCTAGCTGGTGACAGCTAAGTGATAGCTCTCCGCTGTTTCCATATGAGCAGCACTGTGAAATGGTATCAGAAGACACTGTTTATCAGCGCTCTGAGGAGTTTGCCCCCCTGCATGCTCAGCAGCTACATTTAGCTCCTCATTCGCCTTCAAGCAAGTGACAACAGTAAACTCTGACCCGCAAGAGCACAAGCCTTCGCAGCTCTTTTACTTAAACATGCCATCCTCCAGGAAATCAATAATTTGCAGGAGGTTTAAGACAGGAAATAAACAAAAACCAATAGCTGTTAGATAACACTCGCCCTGTGCTGTTCCTTCCTACCTCATGACCACCAACACAGACAGACATTCAGCACAGCTTGTGCCAGCTCTCGGCTAAAAACATCCAGAGAGAATTACACAGTGTGTACTGTGTTATTAGAGATACTATTAGCTCGGGCTATTATCTGCACTGTTATCTTGCATCTATAACAGGTTGTCAACAGACTAGTGATAGAGATGACGAAAAGTAAATATGAGCGTAAGAAGGCAAGCATGTCTGGGTTTTGCCTCCCCCCCCCCAGAAAGAAAAACATGCTCTGTGTGCGTAATTACAGCACTCTTCCTCCGCTGATTACAATGTTGGTCTTCCTCCCATCTATTAATCCTGAACCGTTTCATTAACATGACAGAATGCAGGCCTGTGTGCAATTTGGACTAAACCTCGACTGTTTGTGGCCCTAACTGCTCATCAAAAATAAAGTTCAGAGGGGAGCACAACGTTGAAAAGCAAGAAGGAGTTAAAAGAAACAACAGTCATTACCTCGAGGAATGTACAAGCCAAACATCATCGCAGCATTATAAATTTATGTGTGCAATAATGTTTGTGTGTGTGTCTCCCAGCCAATAGCTCGACAGGCCTGGTGATCAGAGGAAAGAGGGCTTTTCATTGGTCCCAAAGGACTGTGAGGGAGTCCGGTAATGGGACACATACGGTGCATTTTAAACCAGAGGAAACAGCCTGTGGGCAGCTCTGTATTACACACACACACACACACACACACACACACACACACACACACACATACAGAAAAAAATCCTGGCTCAAGACAATCAGTGTCCTAGAATCCATTACAGCACAAAACAACAACATTGTAACGGGAGAGGAGAGCCGACTGGTGGCTGATCTGAAAATGTAGCGTGATGACTTCTTCTTCCTCATCGTCAATGAATCCTTCATCAAAGTGTTGGTTTGTTTTGGATGTTGCCTCACCCTTTCTCACCCCCCCATTTTAATCAGGTCCCCTTATTCTATATTATTGCTTCTCCCAAACAGGATCTGGTTGATCTGTGTGACAACCAGGAGTGACTCTGATTGGATTATCTGGTTGTTCAGTGTTAATCCACAGCCCTGTGTGCACATTATAGCAACATCCACGGAGGCCTCTACTCGCCATCTTAAAACAAAGTGTTGTTGTGATTTTTCAAAGTGTATGTGTTTGTGTTTGTGACTGTGCTAGCAGTTCTCCATGGCAGTGTGTTAATGTGCAGCCATGTTTTGTACAGGCATGCAGTGAAAATAAGTCAACGCTCTGACAGGTGACAACAGGAGCAGCAGCCCGATGAAGAAACGTCGCGGTCGAGTTGTTTTAAAAAAATAAGTCATTGTCATTGTAAATGATGGTTTCACGAGGCCGCTGCTGGTCACAGGTCATCTTCATCACACAGCCAGCAGGCCAGGCTACTCTACCGCTTGTCAGCTCTGCTTTCCCACACAGCAGTCAAAGCTATTTGTGCTAAACCAAGCAACACCTTCATAGGTCGTAGGAAATCTGGTGTTTACTTTGGATGTTTATATGTGGAATTGAAAAGACAAAAGATACAATAACCTTAGATTTTTCGCTGTTTAAACGGCAGGAGGTAGATGTACACTGATGCGATAAACTCTTTAATGCATGACCACATGGGTAAAAGTTGAATTCAGACAAGAAGTGGTCCAAAATCTTAGAAAGAAAAAAAAAATAGACAAGCTGCTCCATCAGTTCAAAATGTCACATAGAAATGCACTGAGGTGGCCATAGTTTACACCATTTTGATTTCTCCATCCTTCTCCGTCTGCTTGTTTTTAATGGACCATCATAATGGTTTCAGCCTAGAGGGGATGTGGTCTGCCTGCTGCTATCTGTCACTGTAGGAGGCGGATCTGGTTTGCCATGCCTCCTGCATCCACAACTTTTCTGCTCTGACTTGGTAAGGATCATTGCAGTGTGACGATGCACAGGTGCAGCTGACACTTAATGCCCATTTCATCTATACCAGTGCATGTATGTGTTTCAACTCACGTTGACACATGAGAGATCATAATCTCATGAGATATGCATGATCATACAGAAGCAAAGGCTTTGTAATCCATGTATGTGCAAACATGAACACACAAATACACTCACACACAAATACACTCACACACACACACACACACACACACACACACACACACACACACACACACACACACACACACACACACACACACACACACACACACAAACACAAACACACTAGGGTTTGGGCTGTCTGGGGGGCTGACAAAGCTCTTTCTCTCTTTCCTTTGGCATCCATTATGGTCCAGGCCTGCTGTCAGAGAGCTTGTATTGCCTGAGGGAAGTTCCCATTTGTGGGAGCATGTGGCAGGGTGGCTCTAAATCCCCTCTAATGAACCAATATGTAGGAGGGCTAATCCTTTGGTCGGGTCGTCCAAGAAACACCACTCTGCACCCAGGCAAAAAATGTATGCATATGTAGTCACCAGACCTTGTTAATGTCTGCTGACATTTAAATCTGAATGGGAGCGACAGGATTAGAGTGGAGGAGATTTGGACTCACTTTTCTGAACCCAGTTGTTGTTATGATTATGAATGAGGCGGAGGAGGAAAGAAAACAGAGCGGGTCTTACCTTTGGGTGTGGTGGGGGAAAAGAGCTTCTCTGAACCTACATCAGACACCTGTAAAAACAAGAAGACAGACTGTAAGTGGGTTTGTCTGGTGATTTTATTTTGAGGAAAACTGAAGCCAGTCCTATACTTGCAGAAAAACTCACATAATTAAAGGTTATTCATCAAAGCTAATGCAAGCACTGCAACATTTAGTCTGCTCTGTAAAAGACTCATTCTTTTATAGAATGAGTCACAAAAGTGGCCACAAGTCCAGGTGGCTGACTGAGCATCAGAGAGTCAATGAAAAGGCAGAGAAGAGAGAAGAGCTCTCCTTGTACCTGCTGGTCTCTGTCTGATTTTTATTTCCTGTTGAGGTAACATTAGGTGGCACTGTTGTGCCACCTGAAAACCCTCAAAGAGTGCTGTGGAAGACGAAGGAAGTCATTATGGAGGCTATGCAGCATTAGAGTGCAATGGCTCCTGCATACACATATTTTTGTTCTGCTGTATTTTGATTGATGAGAAATCTCATGAATAGAATGTTTGATGTCAAAGCAGCATCCTTACATTCAATATCAAAGACAATACAAGCCTTTACTTGGAGTAAACACATGTTCTGACACCAACATGAGCTTGTGTTTGGTCATAAAAAATGGTTTGACTGATGTTATTTCTAGTAAGCAGTAAAAAAACCTGGTGGATTACAGTCATACACCATTTAGTCACATGAGGGAGAACAATATGTCACTAAAAAGTGATAATAGAGACATCTAGACTAAACACTGAAAGGGATTTTCCTCTCTGCTTCAGATTGATATGTAGATTCTGGCAAGCTCAACGTAAACGAAAACAAACCATACATTTTGACATGAAAACATGTTAGCTGGCCATATGTGAAATTTTTAAACACTCTGACAGAAAAGCAGTAAATCCACACACAATCCGTCGTAGTGCATTACACCGTAGCAAAATGTCTGCGTGCTTGGAAGATAATATTAACAATGGAAATCCTCCTCGGCCTGTTATATCAGCCCCTATAGGGGTTTTGTTTAAAGCCATGATTTCCCTTTGCCTTAGATCTTTTCATCTGGGTTCTGCACACTTTTAAAAAGCTGCAAGAGCCGAACATATGTTCCAACCAAAGGGCCTGAGTGTCCTTAACTGCCACGCTTGTATTTTATGCCGCACAAAGGGAGCATATGTAAAGAATGAACAGTGAATCAGAGTGAGTGCAAGAGAGACAGAGACAAAAAGGGAAAGAAAATGATTTGTAAACACAGATGGCTGTCCTTGGCATGCGTGTTAGTTCTTCACAAGTGTTTTGAGGACGTCCTCTTCTTTCCTCCCTATTCCGCCTTCACTGCCACTGTGTTACTGTTCTCCACTGTGTTTGTCTGTGTGTGCTCCACGTCTCATCTCAGAGCTAACCACAACAACGCAAAGAACAGTTGTGTCTACTAAAAACATGACAAATAACTATACTTTCTATATTCTACTATATTTCATAAATATAACACAGCAGAGTACATTTTCACAGAGACCCTCACTGAATGAATATATCAGATCTTTAGTTTGGTCTCTTAAGGATGGCAAACACTCATCTAAACAGAGACGTTTCCGTTTCCTCTAACAGTTGACTACACAGAAAAGACTGAGTGTTTTGCATCACCCTCTTTCAGTCTCCCAGAACCGGGGCGCCAGGCTACAACACAGGCTCTTTGTTAGCTTTGGACGACATTAAACGCTCCAGTACCAAGCCTCAGCGCTCCAGTGGTACAACCTCAGCCTTGCCTTGAATCATGGCCCTGGAGGCCCTGGAAGAAAAATATGGTCTCAGGTTGAAATGAAGCATGTCAAATGGACACAGAAGTTGGCTCAGGGACTTTCTTTAGTGTGGCACGGGGTCACAAAAGCGAAACCCCCCCAGCAACAACATAGTAGGTGATGCCATAACTCAGTATAACAGTTAAAACAATTCTCATGACCACAGAGGGGTTAGAGAGTGAAGCAGACACAACGTCCCTGAGAAAAGGAACAGAAAATACTGTGTTTACCAAGTGCCAAGATTACCCACTTCTCCTTATTCTTATTCTGGCCCTTTGAGTGTGCAGTGAGCTGTTTTATATTCCAAACCCATTCCAAGGAACATCAACAACCAATATTTAGGCTTTAATGCTTCGTTTTGCACCTGCCAAGTCCGCATGAGTCAGTCGTATAATCCACAATTACAAGGCCAGCTTACAAAAGCACTTCTTTAAAAGGCATGTCAAAGCAGAGCCCTGATTTGGCTAGCTGTTGTTTTTGTAGAATTTTCTGGGTTTTGGATGGTCAAGTTGACATTTTTTCACAGGGCTGTGCTGCTGGCAGTCTGAGCCGCCTGCGGTTGTGGTGTGCAGAGGTCATGTATAACAAATTCTTCACACTCTCTTTGTTGAGGCAACCCTGGCTGCCATTAAAAACAGACGGGGAAAGACGAGACAGAGGGAAAATATATATAGAGAAAAAGAGACAGACAAAGAAAAAAAAAAGGAGGAGCAAAGGCCAGGCTTTCCAAAGGAAACACGGAAATTTAACCATTTAAAAAAAATAATGGGGGAAATTCAAGCCACATTGCCTGGAAGCCAAAAGCCCTTGGAGTGGGCCGCAGGAAGCCTGACCTTTGAGGGGGCCGTCTGCTATCTGAGCCTGGGGCTTCAGGGGCCTGGGCTCCTCTCTGGAGGGCCGTCAGCAAGCCTCAGCTTTCCTTCCCTATTCTATTCATTAGCCATGCTTTATGATTCAGCTTCCTCTGAGCCACACAAGAGCTCCCTGAGGAAAGAGACTGCTGGAGAGAGGGAGAAAAAAGGGAGTGAGACTGAGGGAGGGGGGAAAAAAGCAAGAAGGAGGTCATAGGGCCCAGCCGGGGCCCAGCTCCTAGCAGCTGTGAAATCCTTCCGTTTCCTCGGCAGGCGTAAAAGGAATGAGGGGGAGAAAGAAAAAGAAGGAGGCCAGGGAGGGAGCAGGGCCAGTAAACCCACCATCAGAGTGCTAACTCCCCAAAGAGCCACATGCAGAACCATAATTCCCAGATTTAGTGAATGCCAAATAACAAATTACACTGCTGTTTGTTTTAAAAAGTCCCCAACTTCCCTGAACACCAGTGACTTATTGGCTGCATAAATCTCCAGATAATAGCTGAGCCGCAGAGGGAGAGCAGAGAAACAGAAACCCTCACTAGCAATAACAGAGACATTTACTGCGAGGCAAAATGCATTTGCTGTCAAAGCAAAGAAGCAAGAGGGGAAAAAAAGCCTTGCAAATTTCCCATGTCCACATCACTTTTACAAAACAACACACCACGCTAATTAATTTAGAAAATATGAGACAAGCTTAATTGCATTTTTTTTAAGCGTTAAAATGCTTCTCTGTTTAATTCAAGCACAATGGGCAATCTGAGCGAGGCGATGCTGGCAACAAGGGAGGTCGGTATAATCAACAGAATGACCTTCAGGCATACATTTATGAAAGGCATTGATCAGTTAAGGCTGTGATTTCACCAAGACGGGGAGGTCAGCAATTACCTAGATTCAATTAACCTCATTTAGTAAAGACTGCTGAGAGACCAATTTCTCTCCTTTAAACCCCCCCCATCCCCGCTTTCTATCAAATGATCCCCAGGCCGTCCATCTACCTTTGATCTGAGAGCTTCTACTACTGTACATGCCCTTCATCCCTCAGAGCTGAGCAAATTACTCCAAACTGGAAGACATCTTGCAGCCACAGGTTAGGTAAACACAGACTATATAAAGCACAAGGTATCCCCCCCCATTAAGGCAAAAGCATGAAATGTCCGCCCCTTCCCTGGTATAGTTAGATTTTCTTCTACACACACTGGCAGTGCTATCACAACATCTGTAGCATAAAAACAAAGAAACCTGTCGGCTTTGTTGTGGGCTCATGCCTGCAAAGACTGTAATTACAACTCAGTTCTGAGTCATTTGGCACATTTACGTGCTACTTTTTAACACTTCAGGTACCACAAACAAAATAGCAGCTAATACAAAATCATGTTTTACCCACAGTCTGCTCAATGCCTAAACCAACGTTAAAAAAAGAAACAAGCAGGTAGATGAAAATCAACTTAGCACCTATCCGTGAAGCTATAACCACAAGTGTCCTTCAGAATAGGCCTGTAAAATAGAGCTGAGGGACAAAAAAGCAACTTGTTGTTCATGCTAACTAGGCTGGTAAATGTCTTGGTGCAGGGAAAGAGAGTCTTGATGGTGTCTTAAAAGTATACAAGGCTGCTCCGTGCTGTATTGATTTGACATGGAATGGCACCAAGAAACTTACAAGGCAGCATAAAAGAAAGATATGAAAAAAAAAGACAGAGGGGAAAAGATGAGAAGAAAGGAAGCAGGCGAGAGGGCACGCGTCCTGGCACAGACGATCAGGTTCTCAATTACCCTGGCCGAACCTGCCTGTCCATGGATCCACATCACAACACCTCCCACGCACACACACCTTTACACACAAACACACACATTTTTAATTTGCTTTCCTGCTTGGTGTTTCATCACTGTCATTGTCCTCCTTCACTGCCCTCGTCCAATTTTCCATTTACTGTCACACAATGTCCTGTTGCCACTTTTTTCTCATATGCAAAAATTTGGATTTAAACTGATACTATCATCAAGCTTCAAAGTGATGAGAAAGATGTTACTTGGTTGAATACATGACTGTTCTTAAGTTAAGTGTCATAAAAAAATCCATGCATGATTATAATAGGGTTTCTGGTTTGAATTGATGTTATTTGTTTTCTGTAAATAAACAAGGGTCAAACAATGATTTTTGAACACTGCCACAAAAGGGCTCATCAGTACTGACATTGTTAAAACACCTATCTTTCAAACTCTAGCAGGTGTCTGATTTGCTGTGTTCATGTGGGAGTCGGTTGGTGTTTTCATGTTTCAACACGTCTGTCAGCACCCACTCAGGGCCCACAGCTAGCGTCGCCCTCTGAACCTAGATGTTCGCTGATGCTTTCGCCATAAATGCTACATTAGCCAGGAGCAGTGGGCCTACAGCTC